CTCTCTCTCTCTCTCTCTCTCTCTCTCTCTCTCTCTCTCTCTCTCTCTCTCTCTCTCTCTCTCTCTCTGCTTCTTGGCTGAGAAGATGGTCCACTTGTTCGTTCCTGCTTAACAGCCCGTGCTCTTCAGCATCATGAAGGGCAATGAATGATATTCGTCAGGACAAGGAACGGGTCAGTCTCAGACCCGGCAGCAAATATGGCAGCCACAGCCTTTACTAGTTCCACATCGATTCTGGTTGGTTGGATGAGCAGCAGTGGTCGCCATAGACAACCACGGAACACAGGACCTTGCTGCGCTGCAGGCATCATGTGGCAAATCAACCTCCTCCCATCTCTGCACGATACTCCGGTAGGAAGATGCGCAGCAATCATGAGCTTCTTCACAAACAAAAAAAAACGCAGAACGTCAGAATAGTTAGCCCACTTTCCAAATTCTTGTTTTTCCGGCTGTAAAATCAACTTCGCGTTTTCTGCTGTGAAGAAAATCTACAATGACATGCAAGGAAACCAACTTCGAAAACTTTATTAAAGCTCCCCAAAAAGAGTTTTGTGCACTGCAAGCTCACTGATCATACATTCCAATCAGAGTGCATTCTTTGGTCCTCGTCACCACCATTACCCTATGGTTGATCAGTTGGGCAGCATTGTCTGCATCCCCTTCCTTATGAAAATATACATCTATTTGCTTTTTTCTTCCATGAAATGAACGAAGTTTCACGCACTCTGAATTCACCAACAAGTATCGGCATAGGAATAGCCTGATCAAATAGAAGGAAACGTGCCCAATGCGTGGCCACACGGACCCTGGGAACCCTTGTGACAAACAACTCCTGCCCAACCATACTGGTCCATACATACATACTTACACGCACACAAATTGCATACGTACTACACGCCTACGTACATGCATACACACTACATGCATACGTACACATACATACATGCACACGTACATGCATACGTACTTCATACATACGACTATGCATACGTACACAAGTGTCATTCGTTCGTATGTCCATAAATAGATACATACGTGCATGCATGCATGCATGCATGCGATTCAATAAATAAACATAGTTTGCTGGCCAAGACAAGAAAAAGAAGAAAGCTCCGATGGGCTGTCATGGTTATCAGTGCAGCAATCACACCGCAAAGATATGAAAACTGAACTTAACACATGAAAGTTTTGACGCAAGTGGATGTTTGCATCGATTTGTTTAAAATTTCAAACGCTAAACAAAAAAGAACGGAAAAAAAAAACAATACACAGTAAGCAAGCAATAAGCACAAGGGCAATGACAAATTCTTTCCAACCTAACTGCCGCAATGTCCGCTAAAACAAGAGGAAGTGATGGTGTTTAGCTCATAACAGCAGCGGAGTCGCACTCATTACCGAATTTCAACCATTGGTTCGAGGCTCGCAAGAAGCACACCACACGGTCCCCACCTCTTGCTTCATAGGGACATGCACACATCAAGCCCTCATGGAATGATACCCCAGGGGTGCATCTACTTCCCCTCCCACCCCCTCAGAAAAGGAGTGATAGCCCACTAATCACAAACAAGCGCTGCTGCAACTTAGTGGCAAAGCCAATGAGCTACGTCTATATCTGGGATCTCGAATCTGACGGCTGATAATTAGAGTCAAGTAGTTTAAAAGTAGTTCGATTTCCACTCCCGAATTTCCCTATAAGACCAGGGCATAGCCTACCACGGGCCGATGGTCGGTACAGAAGCATAGACCATTGAGCCTCGAGTCACCTGACCCTGACCCTTGCAATAAAGGGACATACCCCGCCGAGACCTGACCCTTGAAGCAAATACAATACACTGGAGCTTGATCCTCTCTGCAAATACAATCCACTGAGATAAAGTTCCCTCTTACCACTGGGCGGCTATTTGCTGGAAACCTATGCCTGATCGTTGGGGGCAGGCCCCACTGGTGCTATGTCGGTGCTATGTCGGTGCTATGTTGGTGGTATGTGTACAGTCCAAGTCTTCAAGGGGAAGCTTCATGAAGAACCACTGTATCAGACCATCACATTTGTGGTTGGGGGCGCGGGCTCTGTTTGCAGGGGGGGGGGGAGATATTCCCCGGTAATAACGAGCACGTGTTTTATTCGCAGGGGCAGAGGGTGGCAGAGGGCGGACATAACACGGGGGCAATCCAAGGAAGAAGACGCAGAGGTAAGGGGAGCATGTTCTATTCGGGGAGGAGAGGGTGAGTGCAAGACGGGGCCACTCCAAGGAGGGAGAAGAGCAGACGTTGAGGATCCGGATCACACTCGGCCATACCTTCTCTGGAAGCAAGTGCTGAATCTGCCGACGTTGAGGGTAGACAGCACTGACCTGCAAACACGGAGAGATTGCCAATCTGCTGAGCTCGCTTGAGCGTGAATGACAGGCAGGAGGTCGGGATGAGGACTATCGGAGAAAACGGAGCAAAAGACCTTGCGCAGGATCCAGACGGACCAACCTAAAAGCGGGGAAACGTACAGACGAATCGGAAAATGAACAGAAAAAAGAATGAGGGCCAGGGTGGGGAGATGCAGATCACGATGGCTTCTTTTCAGGTAGAGGGAGAGTAGGGAGTTGAAGTGCTTCGTTTTCTTTGTGGTTGTGGGGGGGGGGGGGGGGGGGGGGGGGGGGCAGGGAAGGAGAAGAGACGAGCACAGTGAAGCTCAAGAGCAGGGTGTGGAAATGGGAACAGGTGCTCGAGAATGTATTAGCGAAGCATAAGTAAGGAGGGGGGAGCGGATTGGCGGGAAGGGAGATGTCAGGCAGATGTGGGAGAAGAGAGGAGGTGGTTCGTGGGGAGAGAGAGGTGACGCCGTTGTGGGGGTGAAGGGTGACTATGTGGAGGGTGGCGGCGTGGGCATGGGCAATGCATGAGCCATAACAGGGGGGTGCAGTTGGACCTTTTGATACCCTGTACAGGGCCAATTGATAGGCACGGGGCCACTGGATGGGCACGGGACCAATGGATGGGCAAAACCTGTGCACAATGTGAGGTTGTTAAGAAGTGTAGAGAAAGGGAGCAGGAGGAGGAGGAGGACGGGAGGGCGAGGACAGAGGGGAGGAAGAGAGAGGGGAGAGGGGAGAGGGGAAAGGGGAGAGGGGAAAGGGGAGAGGGGAGGGGAGGATTTAAGTGCCATCATCGGGAACAGATGCCACGAGGTAATCTCTCTTTACCCGACAGATGGAACAAGGTGAATGGAAATATCACGTGGCTGTCAACTAAAGGAAAAAAAGAACCAAAAGAAGAGGGCGACCGGACGCGTTTTTCGGCGGCGCTATTGCGCCTGCGTTAACGCAGTGTTACTGCACCAGAGTAAGGGCGAGATCCCACCGGCAAAGACGATTGCAGTAAGTGTCTGAATGTGGACGTGTTTGTGGACAGGTGCGAAAAATTGTGATTGATCTACTTTTCTGCACCTCTACGTGGAACACGTCCAGATTCAGACACTTCTTGCAATCCTCGTTGCCAGTGGGATCTGGCCATAACTCAGCTAATCCCTAACCCCTCGTTTGGAACGGCGATGGCGGTCGGGGGAGCACCTTTTCTCTTTTTCCTTTTTGGCACTCACCAACCCTAATACCGACCCACCGTATCATTAGGATTTTTTTTATTTTTTTTTTCTTTTAGGTTGGAGGGATGTACAGTACTGTACCATATTGCAGCCCCCATGGCTAAAACTGGAATTACAGGAATTACAGGATTTTTTTATTTCGTTTTTTTTTTCCAATGACTCATCTCAAAAAAAAAAAAAAAAAAAGAGGGCACGTAGGCCGGCGGCTAAAAATAGATCGTGTAGTATCCGTTCTGATCAGTTTAATATCTGATCCGTGGTCCATCGTGCCACAATGATTTTTTTATTTTTATTATTTTTTTTTTTAAAGACAACGCGTCCAATTCATTACAAAAATCAAATGATATCGAGGCCGGGGACCCGCGGAGTTATCCTGCCAATCTTAGCCAGTCCCGAGTTAGTGGGAGCAGGATGCTTCACAGTAAACAAAATTTACTTACCATTTCTATTTTTTATTTTTTTATTTTTTTTTATTTTCCCTTTCAATTTCGAAGGAAGATTCAAATCACGGCCAGAAAGAACCAAGTTTCCTTTTTTCCCAATTTTATGACTCAAATAATCATAAAATGCCTGGGCTATCAACAGAGAGCCGCCTAGGCCACGTTGGGGTGCCTGGGAGGCCTCGCCGAGCAAGGACCAAGAGAGGACCCCGCAAAACACATAAATAAATACAAGTGGACCTGACGCAAAAAAAAAAAAAAAAAAAAACAAGTGGACCCGGCGCGGCTTCGCCCGCGGCCCAGAATCGTGGAGGAGGGAGGTCTGACGAAACAGGGCATCACCTCACCACTCTCGAAATGTGCAAAATGAGAATGAACTTCACACTAGAACATGGCCAGATGCACCCGCCACATTTGTCCTTTTTACATTACGAGAGTGGTGTGGCAAGGCCCACAATCTGGTAGTCTTGTTTTTTTTTTTTTTGTGGAGTTGTGTACCCTCCCCTGATGCTCCACGTGTCCCGTTTCCTCATCGTTATCCCCCGTTCTCCTTCACCTCACTCTCCTACCCCTTTCTCCTCCATCCAATATTCGCCCATTGTTATTCTCCGTTACGTTCCCCTTTCGTTCTTCACCTCCCTCTCTCTCTCTCTCTCTCTCTCTCTCTCTCTCTCTCTCTCTCTCTCTCTCTCTC